CAAGCGAATAGGACAAGTGACAGTCACGTTTTTGGAGAACCTGCTATCTGGAGATTCTGCAAATTGACCCTTTTGTGAAGTTTCTTTCACCAGTACATGGAGAGAATGGAGGGTGAGGGACAAAGACGTAGCACTTGATTATTTGGGGTACTGGTCAAAGGCCATGTGGCTGCCTAGGCAAGCTTCACCACCAGCGCCCCCTGTCTGAGGCAAATTGAAACTGGTTTGCTAAGTCAGCACCCCTTCAGAAGGTGGCGCACTAGGCAGCCGCCTATGGGCGCTTTTGTACTGCACTAGGTACCTCAAGGTTTAGCTTGTCCACTGGTGTTAACTCTGGCACCGCCGCTGAATGACACCACAATGCAAATTAGGGTGTTTTGTACTGAATCCGAAAAATGGCTGCAGTATATTATAGGGCTGGGCAATGCTCAATATTAATATCAACATCGCATGTTATGCGCATGCAATTCTCACATGGCATGGACTGCGATAGACAGCTGGGTTAAGAACAGGGGCTCCAAGGTGACATTTCTAGCTAGGCTCTTGATTAACCACATAACAGCACCCTCTGCTCTTGTGTCAACCAGAATTAGCCTGTTTGCACAAACGAGCAAGAGATCGTAAATGTCATTGTCTTCCGCGGGATGACTTAATTACGCTGCCGCTGAGCTAACGCTTCTGCGCGGCTCGCAGCGTAACGCATTAGCTTTTGCTGGTGCCGCACTTGCATGCTGTACTTTTGCATCTCCCCCTGTTACGTGGCGTGTATTTCGCTGGCTGTCGTTCTGCTGGATGTGTTTGTCACGCCCATGGGACTCTGTCACACAGCTCTGTGCTACAAAGTGCTAGAAGTCCTGGCACCGGGTTCTTTATGAGAAACCCTTCGGAAAAATAAGCCAATCAAGTGTTTTGCCTGGTTTCCTTGGTGATTCCGAAACTTCCTGCCCAGAGAAGTTGGGGGAATGCATTCCTTCCCCACTTTCCAGATAAATCAAGGCACTGTCATCTAATTTTAGTCCAGAAATAAGGACACATCTTGGATTTTCCTTTCTTTGTCTCTGACTCGACAGGCTGAAGTAATAAAAATGGTATCCTGGTTAAGTTGGGTAAATGTGTTGCGTAAACAGCACTTCTCTGGCTTTTACACTCCGCTTTTCTGAGTCTGGAAGTAAATTAAGTTAGACAGTTAAAGTAGTCCACCACAGATCCAACAGCGAGAGTGTGGAGGGTATTTTGGTACCCACAATGCACCCTAGCCAGGCTATGAATCATGGGTAAACAATACAGTGTTTTGTTTGCTATGAATTTTAACAGTTTAGCAGTTGTCTACAGGTTTACGCGTGTGGATATTTACAGAAGCATTTTCAGTTAAATCTTGCTGTAGATCATGGCAGTTTGGTCGCTGCGTTTTGAGTCTGCGCCTATTTCGGGGGCAAACCCACGTCCTTAGTGCCCACGGCAGTCACCTTAGCGGGACTGTTAAACTGGTGGGCAGCGGATATAAACAGCGGCACGGTGAACAACACCTGCATGCTATGCGGTCAAAGGGTGTGATCAGTCAAGTATGCAGGCATTTAGGAGGAGAACAGACCGTGAGTCATGTTGCTAAGGGGGTTCAAGCTGAGTCTTCCACATCCAGACTCTCAGCTCAGCCAAAATGACGACAGTGTGACGACACAGAGCGTGGATTTGACTCAAATGAGACATTATATAAGAGAAGAAGCATTTCATTGTTTTTTTATTCTTATGTACTTTCAAATGCTGGATTAATCATAATTTTTATGATTAATTGTTTACTTGACCATAACCTACTGTAATGTGAAATGATGTATAACAATTTCTTCACTGTATTGTTCTGCCAATGGGTAGACCTGTCCGTGGTGAGTCTCAGCACCAATTAAAGTTCTTTTCTGTGTTATCCATGTTTTGGTGGATAATTTTTCTTACTGAGCCACTAGTTTCATCTTGGCGTGGTGTTGAGTTGAACACCATCAGCTGGCTGTAGTCTCAAAAACAGGGTATTTCCGGGGGAGTCCGGTTATTACTGGGGCTGGTCCAGTGAGATGGAACCGTGACCATTTCTTCTATAGCAGGTTCACTTCATGTCCCTGACATGCTACAAAAATCGTAGTTAACCAGCACCTTCATAAAACCCAGGAACTATTTCGAAACATCCACCCATCTTTCAACCGCTCATCATGTTCTGCAGGAGGACATGGCCAACCTCAGAGAGCGATATCAGGATTTGAAGGCACAAGCCTGGAGGTGACAGGCAACAGTGTTACACATTCAGCCAGTGCACCAGCCCGTTCTACCATGAGAGAAAACTAGGTGATTTTTAGAGTTGCATAATGTTTACTCAATAATTCCATTCATATAACCAGTAGGAAAGGTAGGTCAATCATCACTGCTGGGAATGTTGTGTCATCACCTCAACAAGCTGAAACATGGCTGTCTCGCGTTTTATATGCAGTCACATACTCTTCCACTCCCAAATGAAGCATTTCCTAGTTTGGGATAGGCAAGAAATGTGGGCGTTTTCAGGAACTAGTGCTTTGAAAAACTAATTATATCATTTTATTCTCTCATTTGAAATGCTGTCACATTCAAATGTGCTTCTGGTGACCTGCCAACATACTTTGCCCATTCACCATGGGACGGCCTGCTTCAGTCATGCATCTTATAAGCAACGTGTAGGATGTGGGAGGACAGAGTCTGGGAAATGTCACCGGGCAAATTCCTGTTACGGCAAACGTGTGACGAGCTTCTGACATTCTAGGGTACCCAACTCTACTGTGACACAAGTTTTATTTTTGTGAACATTAAGTATCAAGTCTTTGTCTTGTGTCTTTGTTTCTGCCTGATTATTTACTTTTCTAGGACGATAATGTTTTCACACAGAAAATATGTGAATAGTAAGCCTTCTTTATGGTGGTCATTGTGAAAGCTCGCAGGATGTACACAAGCTGAGCCTCTCCTGACTTAGATCATTGCTCTGGCCCACGTTTAAATTTTACTTTATTATTATTTACATTTGAAATGGCAGGGTCAGACAATCCCTGGAGGAACTGGGGATTAAGGGTCTTACTCTGGGACCCAATGGTGAAATCACTCTGCCGACTCTGGGAGCTGGACCAGAGAAAGATCTGACACAAAACAAGTGTGACTAGTTGGGCTACTGTGCCGATTTTCTCTGTAGATGCGCTGGTTTATATGGAGTGAAAGACCCCTGAAGGCTCTGCGTTGATTGGTCAGCTATGGCACGGTTTTGGTTCCGCAGCGTTATGTGTTCACTGTTTCGATTTGTTATCTGTTTGTAGAATGTCTACTTTTCCCCTATTGGTTAGGCCCCTTAATTAACAGTTAATAAGGAGTTTAATGCATTTTCACCATTTAATCAAACAGGCTGTTTCATGGAATATGTTTGAGTAGAACAGAATTCTGGGGCTTCCTACCCTGAGGCAAACTGTGGGGTCACAGAATGGAACTGAACTGAATGTTTGCCCTGACAATACGGACCATGAAAACGGTAAACAGAGACCCTTAGCAAGTGCCAGGAAGGATCCGGCAGCAGAAACTGTTTGACACAGATATCTAACCTTGATTCGGTGAATATCCAGTTTATAAGTGGGGCAAACAGGAAGCTGTTCATTTCCTAGATATATACTTTAAGTATCATGTTTGTTAGGTTAGGTGTGCGGTATTAATTTGCATTTTAGGCTTATGATATTTTCGCCGTACGATAAATCGGAACGTAACCACATCATAACCCGGAGAGCGTCTGTGCTTCTTAAAGGGGGTTTGGCCCTCACCGAGCTGGGCGTCAGGTGGTTTAGGTGACTCTCATTGCTCCATAGCACCATCTACTGGTGGCTGGGCATCTGCCAGGCTTAGGGTGGAATCGGCTGAATGTAGCCCCATCCAGATGGCTTACATGGCTCAGAGCGCATACATTGACGATGGGAGTTGGCATGGGTGTTGGCCATTGAGCAGAGAGCAGTCACCAGATGACTTCGCCATTCCAGACAGCGAGACAAAGGGGACAAAAGGTAGACAACACCTACCCTGTTCAGTAACATTTAATCTCTGCTAAATCTGCCACATCATGGACAGCCATTTTCCAGCGATGGTGCCAGGTAGATGGATGGCAGCTGAAATGAGAGGACTGGGAAACGTGTGATGGATGTTTTGCTGGGAGACACACTATTCTTCTGAAAGCCAAGAACCGGGGAGAGAAAATAAAAGCTGCCCCACAAATAATTCACAGTGTGACTTTATGAAAGTGAACGGGGAACAATCCATGGCATTGTTTTGGTTTGCAGTTATTAATCAAATTGTCCTGCTCTGCAGTGGGTCTGTTGAAGTCTTGCCCATCTCAAGTTTCCAGTCCCTAAGATGGAAATTTTGAAGTTAAAACACAACTCCTCAGCCCGTGAGTCTTTGAAAGAGATTAGTGTGAGATGTTTGCGGTGAAGTTTCAAACGGACAGCTGCTTTCAGTACCTGTGGGTATTTTTTCATGCCAAACTTGATGCACTTTGGAGAAATATGTAAAGACTGTACCTTACAGAAAACAAGAGCGGCTGTTTTTCTTAGACAAATTTCAGATGTCTGGAATTTTGCCAAAATGCAGAAAAAGAATGATAAATATTTTAAAGATCATACCAGACACACAGGCAAGCATGACATAATTTAAGGGGATCTCACCACAGGTCACCGTCTTCCTTTGAGAGGACCAAGAATATTCTGGAGCTGAACAGACATTATTATATGGATGGAGCAGGTTCAAGCCTAAATACAGGCACCTCTCACCTGACGTAAGTAATCTGTACCACAAATCCTTATGTAAATCGAACGTTATATAAATTGGATTTACCTTCCCATACCATTTAAGACATCTTACAGCAAAGAACACAGTAAATAATGATTTAAAAAAAATTATGAGCAATGTATCAGGAGTCTGTCATTCTACTATTTAGTGCCTGTAAAATTAGCCGGTAAGAAGTTATACTGCCATCACTCCGCCCCAAATTTTTTCAACACCATCATAGATACTTTTTGCGTAAATCTAGGTTTTATGTATGTTGAGAAGAGCCAAAGTCAGGCACATTGAATCTCGGATTCAGGGTCACTGTCAGGATGTGTCAAAACTTCAAACACGCCCGTACGCATCATTTTAATCAAACCGTTGCCAATCACGACATTTGAGTCTGCAGCCATTGAAGTCAGACCCAAAGGAGACGATGTCATGCCCCACTGTAAGCAGGGATACGGCCTGGATCAGCTCATCGCGGCTGTGTCATGGAGGTGGCCTGAGCCGCACACCAAAAGGGTGTAAAACGGAGGCTTTGGGAAAGCACAGATTCACTGGATCCATTATTACTGACAGCTTTACCCCAAGTTCCCATGAGCCCAAAACCATGTGACGCTCTGGGACTTAGGATATTAACATGTAAATCCAGGAACCTCATATATTGTCCAAAAAAAGCTCGGTTTTTGTAGAATGTATTATACAAAATAAAACAAGACCTCATGTACGTCCAAGCTACTATTTCCCGCAAATATTTCATCTGAGAGCACAGATATATTACTGAAATTTATTTCTGATTTCGTCGTGGCAGATAAAATCGCCAGAAAAGTTGTTCCAGTTGGATCTGGAGAGTTTTAGCACTACGCACGGTGCTGAAGGACCTGAAGGTCCAATACGAACCTCTTCCGACCCCCATCCCATCTCCATGGAAACGCTAATATTTTCATCCTGCTGGTCTCCTTGCATTGCTAGAGAGATGCCAGATCTCTGTTGTTTTTGGAGTCGGGCCTGGTTTGGCCTGAAAAGGAGCAGAGTCTTGAGCCATAACAGAGAACACTTGGAAATTCCTGGAGCGAAGTGAAGGGGAATGAATGCTGACGCTTTTCGTGTGGTTTTTTGAAATCTGTGCACATTGTTTAAGGTGAGTAAAAACATCTCTGCTCCCAAAAATGAGAATTTAAACGGGGTTTTATTAATAAAACAAAAAAGTCACTGAACATTTATGGATCCAAATCTTTTATTAAGTTGGAGATTTTATAGATATTTGAGATTTCTTAGTGTCATGTTCCTTTAACTTGCTCCATGAAGCGTTCATTCTCGTGGCCTAGTTATTTCCATATTTGTACCATGACTCAGGAAAGACCTTCTGACTCCATCTCCACAATAATACTCAGCTCCTGCTACATGATGAGCAGGTTTGTTCTGCCACGATGAAGCGTGTCGCTTTGCTGGAAAAATTCCTGGGAGGCTTTTTTGTAACCTGATACTTTGCTTTGCCTGGCAGATCCCGAGGTGAACATCGCCCCGTGGATGTGCAGCTTTGCTTTGCCTGGCAGATCCCGAGGTGAACATCGCCCCGTGGATGTGCAGCTTTGCTTTGCCTGGCAGATCTCGAGGTGAACATCGCCCCGTGGATGTGCAGCTTTGCTTTGCCTGGCAGATCCCGAGGTGAACATCGGCCCGTGGATGTGCAGCTTTGCTTTGCTTGGCAGATCCCGAGGTGAACATCAGCCCGTGGATGTGCAGCTTTCTTTTGCCTGGCAGATCCCGAGGTGAACATCGCCCCATGGATGTGCAGCCTCTGGTCCTCCGGTTTCCTGAAACGTTCTCCGGGCAGACAAATTAGGTGAGGTTCTCGCTGAGCTAATTATGGAGGAATTTGGGTGTATGGGTGCTCTCCAAATCAGTCTCTATGAAGTCGCGTCATGTGGCACTGGTGGTGGGGGTTTACAGGGACAAAGGAATCTTTATGAGCAGAAACTACAGAAATAACACAGTCCTGTTGGAATAAAAGCTGGTGTCTGGAGCCTCTATACTGACTAGCTTTGTGCCTTCTATATGCCAGTAGCCCACAGCTCACATGGTGCTTACATTTGCTCGTGGAAACACCCCCCCCCCCCCCACAGGTCCACCCTTTCCTGGCGTCTCCATGTACAACTGACATCATTTCGCTTTCCTTTAACAAACATACCACACAGCACAACATTGTTTTCGCTGCCTCCCGCCATTTGCCTCGAATGCTCCAGCGAGGGGGCAATTTAAAACATTTATGTAAATGGTCTGGCACACGTCGGAATGTTCTGTCAAATGGGCCGTACAAGAATGGCAGTAAGAGCCGTACCTGTGGGAGAACTGGTATTACTACGGCAAGAATTTCCATTCTGGGGGGAGAACTGGTATTCGCAAGAATTTACATCTTGCCCGGTTTTAGATGGCATCTCGAATACAGCCACAAAATAACACCAAATATTGCTCTGATTATGACGTCTTTTCCTCAGGAGCTGAGTTGCAGCCAAACCACCTAAGAAGTGAAATCAAGGTTTTTTAGATTGACTGTTCTTTTTTTTTGGGGGGGGGGTTACCGGCAGGTGCAAAGCGTTCCTCTGTCATCTTTGACAGCCACGGCAGACACTGTGGGTTTACACCAAACCTCCAGAGAAATAAAAACCTTCTAGGAGCCTTGTCTTCTGGCAGAGCTTCACCAGCCACATCGCTATCCAGGCATCCCAAACAGGGACGAGATCACTCTGGAATGGCTTGCATGCTGTAGCAGTTACACACTTAACAAATTTCTCTTCTGCTGGATTCTGGACATTCTGCTACTTGACATCTAGAGAATGTAGCCAGGAGGAACTCGAACGTCGTCGTAAAGCATGACAGCCAAGAAAGCGCATTGCAAGTGTCTGCTTTTTATATAAAAGGAATGAGCCATTAAACAGATATTTTAAAAGTTTTTTGGAGTATTTTTTAAGTCCTCATCAACAAAAATTTTATTTTATTAGCTATAGTAAAGTGTCCCAGGCTTCTTGCTATCTTGGAATTGTATTTGAATGATACACTGATAGATTTAAAACCATCGAGACCATTTTTTATTTGTCAGACTTAATCCCTGTTTAATAGTATGATGTGTAAACTGTAAACCACATCCGTGGATTATGATGATTAGATGAATAAGAGAAAGTGGGAGAGTGAAGACAATTAACTAATTTGATAGTGATAGTAATTCTGTGTGTCTTTACCTCTATTTTGACATGTAGCACTGGGCTGAAAGCGCGTTGCAATATCATTTCTTTACGTTTGACTCCCAGTGATAGAATGACAGTTGTTTGAAGTGACAGGCACCACATTTTGTCCAGCCAACCAAGATCTGTCTCTTCACATAAAGGGTGGGTTTTTGGCACACCCTCCATCCTGTAAGCGGCCAGATGCTTTCTATTGATGCAAATGCCAAACATTTTTACGACATCGGAATTCCTTCAGTTTGACTTGCTGTGTGCCGTTCTGTGGGAGCGAATCGCGCTGAATTTTTTTGTTGAGATAATGGATGCCGTGGCCGGTCATACTGCCAGGGTGCATTCAGAGCGTGCTTTGGACAACAAAGGCATGAGAAGCACTCACGGCTAAGAGTGAAAGACATACCGTGATAATTAACGACCTGGATCCATAAGCCAAAGGTAAACAGTTCATGCGCATTTCAGAGGCCTTGTGGTATTAGCCTGAAGTATTTGTCATTAGGGCACTTATGACTATGGAGACCAAGGGTGTGACCTTTAGAGTAGATGTTGGAGGAGATGGTGGTAAAGTGGCCCCTGAATGCAAGGTGGACATTGTTACTGACCTGTCAGTCACTGCAGTCTAATCTAATGGGAACCATTAAAGTAGCCATTGGGAAGTATGGCACCTCTGTCAGTGACTGACTGCACAAGACAATCTGACCCACAGTGAGTGTCATGGCCTCTCTTTCCCCCTTAAGTGACTATAGCAACAATTTATGTTACTATTCAAGAGTAGGAACCTTTACTATATGTAGAGAGGAAGGGCCACACAAATCTAACTATTATGTTTAAACAGTGATACGGAATGTTCAACCTTTTGGTTCTCAGGACGCGTTACTGAATGCTAGGCATGTTGCTGTGAACCACGCAACAATTTAAAATTGGCTTAATACTGCCACCTAGTGTTAAACCTATCAAAGCATTTCTTGCAAGAAAATATTAATCTTCTAGAAGTAGTAAGAGTCTAAGACATACTATGTACAATGTGCAACAAATCCAATGTTTGAGTTTATTGTTATGTGATGAGCTCCCATGTTTTTCAGCTTTAATACACGTTTTGTAAAGTGTTTCTTGTCCAAAACCAAATCCTATGGATATTGCTATAGAGCTACAGGAAACAACCAACCAAAGGAAATATGATGATAAGTCAATGATGCAACTCCTTCCGACCTGCATGGAGCGATCACCGAACCTCAGAACATTTCAGCCAGATATTCATCCTGGTCTTTGGTACCTCACCATAATCATCAGCAGCTTCTATGGTAGTTTCTGTAGGTCTCACGTGTCACAAAGCTGCTCGTAAATATTGCTTGTTTTGCTCAACCAGCACATCATGTGTGACGTCTAACTTTTTATATTATTTTAATCATTAGCTCAACTATGTACTGGACGTCGGGAGACCCAAAGATGAGCTTGTTGAAACACCTAAAGGATATGTCTCACGAAGGCAGATTTTTGGACCTTAGAGTTAAACAAAGACATGGAATCTACAGTAACTTTATTTGTGTATATAAACACACATCTTCTGAAACCACTTATCCTGTTCAGGATTGCAATGGGTCCAGAGCCTATCCCATATATAGCATTTAGTTAATATTATAATTAGATTAATTAGGAAACATTCAGCTCTATTACATGATGGATCATCAAAAATCAGCAAGATATAATACAGCTGAATAAAGATCTCTTTTCCAATTTGCTATACCTTCTTACTAACCTTAAGACGCATGAAGGTAATTCAGCACTAATTCGTCATAGATATAATAGCGGGATCTGTGCAAAGCAACCGCAGCAGGGCGACAAACGGGAATAGTAAATCGTGATTAAGGCCGTGTGTTAATGACTTAAGTAACGTAGCATAATTAAGATATGTATAATTCAGAATTCGGCGGCGGCAGAGTAATTTAAAGCTGGAATCGCCATTTTGTCAAGATCGCATGAATACGATTCTGGAATAATTTAAAGACAATTTGTATTTCAAGGTGAGATTATAATTAAGAGATACTGCTAATAATAAAATAAGACCGTGTAACGCACTTACGTGCAGCGGCAGTGATTTAATGTGACAGGAGGGATGGGGAGCTGGATTATTTTGGCGGGTGCTTTAACTTGCATCCTGTTTAGGGCCGTATGAAATCGGTTTTATTTTTTTCTCAAATTCCGTTTTGTTGGATTTAATTTGTTTAGTTTCTGATTTTTAGTTTCTATAAGCTTTTAATGTGATCTGAAAATTTCGGTAGCGTATTACTGCCACGACATAATAAAAATATTCTCACTCTCACGTTATAACGTGAAAATATTACATTATAACGTGAAAACATCACGTTTTTACGGAAGAGGATTAGGGCCACCATGAAAATATTATTTGAATTCTGACTTTAATGTCAGAATTCTTAGTTTAGAAAAAAAGTCAGAATTCTGACATTAAAGTCAGAATTCAAATAATATTTTCATAGTGGCCCTAATCCTCTTCCGTACGTTTTAACGTGAACTTGTATCACGTTATAACATGAAAATATTACATTATAACGAGAAAACCTATCCCGATAGGATTAAAAGTTAAATTGATCAGGGGCGACGTTGTGTCGAAAAATGGCATCCCCTTTGATTTTGCATCCCTGCAGCTCCCATCATCAAGTACATGAGAAATATATCCCCTCACCAACTTCATTACATTTGCACTGACCCCAGCATGAAGCACGTTTTCTTAATACAATTTGGAGATAAGTGCCGTCTGCACTACTTTCCTGAAAAGAAGTGTTACCGTGCATCTGATACACACTTACAATGTAACAAGCGCTTTATTGCCAAGTTCATGTCTGCTGTTTTGAACTTTTCAATTGATATTAACAGGCGTTTGGCAGCCTGTTAAGTAACAAACCGTTTTCAGATCCGCTACTTATTTTATTAGTTTTATGCTGTGTATCTGTACTTTAACAAAATGCTGTAAATACAGTTTCTGTGAGTTTACATACACAGAAACTGTCATGCCCCGCTCGTCCGCTCCTCCCGTGAGCCACGCCCCCTCATCTACCCCGTGTGGAATCCCCGTGTGGAATCCCAGTGTCCACCAGCTGTTTCTTGTTGTTTGTCATTAGCCTGGTGTATTTAAGTCCGCGTTTAAGTGTGTTTCCCCAGTTCGGTCATTAACATTGACTGATTTACTTGTTGGTTAGCGCGCACGGTTACAAGACAAAATATTTTTAATAATTTTATGGTCATTGGTGGGTGAGTCAGTTAAAATGTAAACATACATAATTCAAGCACATAAAGGGTTGCTGACTGTCTTCACAAATGCAGAACAGGGCTTGGGGCCCTGCTAGGTAACTGAAGGGGCCCTGGGGCCCCACAACCCACAGTTTGCACTAATCAGTGTGCTAAGCCCTGACAACTAGCACTGCATAGTTACCAAAGGATTTCACCCAAAAATAGATGCTGATGGTCCCCTAGGTCACTGAAGGGGCCCCGGGGCCCCAAAAGCCACAACATCCAAACCCGGTGTGGTATCTAAGACAGCCCTGGGCCTTATTAAATAAGTAGCACTGCCATAGTTATATGATGACTTATTTTAAAAAAACGGACTGCCTTCACAAGGGGGGGGGACATCGCTTGGGGGCCCCTAAGGCCTGTAATCCACTCATGAACCGATATATTGTGCATGTCTTTGTATTGTTTGTGCCAGTTTTATAAAGATGGTATGAAATACAAAACGATAGATATATGCTGCTTAAGAATTATGAAAGAAAATCATGATCTCGAAAAAAAAACTTGCAACGTTAGCAAATAGTAACAAGTCTAAATGCCAAAGGTGCGCAGAGTGTGTACAGGCGTGTAGCTACAGGCAGTCATGGTTCTGATTATTCCATCCGTCTGTTTCCTAAACCTGTTGGTCCTATGCAGAGTCGCTGGGGTCCGGAGCCCGTCCCAGAAGCTATGGGTGTAATGCAGGGAATAACCCAGGATGGGGAGCCAACCCATCGTAGAGCTCCGATAATTATTCATGTATAAAATAGACACATGGCACAAACTCCCTGAAATTCGGCGCTCAGTTACTTTAGTAAGTGTAATACTACATATGGAATGTGGCAGAGTAACAGACTGGAGACCCCCGTGTGTAAATTCACTGTGAAGTGCTGAGTACTAGATATTGTATATGTATGTATCTGTTTATCCTTCATTTTCACAGAGGGCCCAACAGGATCTGGTCTGGATCGGCACAAAATGGAGGGAACTGCGTCTGAAATGGGTCCCTCAGTGAAGTGTAAGAAGAGAGGAGCTGCTTCTGAAATGAGTCAATCTGTGGAGTGTGAGGAGAGAGGAGCTGCTTCTGAAATGAGTCAATCTGTGGGTAAAACACAGGGAACTGAGAGGTAAGACAGAACCTGTGTGATTTTGCACTTATTTACAAGCAGACATAAAATACCCTTCCAGCATTTTCAAAAGAGGTAGTAATTACAGAGAATCAGTTTTAGCTTAATGCATTTCCAGGAGACTTCAGTGATTCAGGTCTGAGGGGTAGGTGATTAATGTTCATCATTAATTAAATTTCTTTCAACTGTCTGCGTTTAATTGTATTCCCCAGTGGATATAAAGCCCCCAAGAAAGCTGATACATGGAAAGATATCACCTTCTCTGTGAACGCTGTGTGCTAAATAAATCTAAATGATCTTCAAACATG